AAGAAATTTAGATAATAGTTAAAAGATTTTATAAGAATTAAAATAGATATATAATTATTATTTAAATAATAAATATAATCTAAACTAGATAATTAAATAATTAATTTCTAAATTATATAATATATAAATATTATTATAAATTATCTAATAATTAAGAATTACTATATAAAATAGGCTCTGAATTAATTAATTACATATTAAATATAATCTGATTATATTAAATAATATTTAAAATATAATTTATAAATAAATATCAGATAATATTTAAAATATAATATATAAATAAATATTAGATAATCTTTAAAATATAATCTATAAATAAATATTAGATAATCTTTTAAATTTACTTTTAGAGCTTATATTTTATAATTTATTTAGATTTAAATATATTTTTTAAAAGATTAATTTTTAATTTTTATTTTAATTATTAACTACTCTATTTAAAAATATATATATAATATAATTAATATAACTAGACTTAGTTTTTTTTATAAAGCTATTTATGAATTTATAAATCTTTATTTTTATAAAAATATTATTTTTTTAATTATAGTTATAATCTATTTTTATTTAATCTAACTAAGAATTAATTAATATTATATAAAAATATTTAAAAATATTTAATATTAATAGATAAAATTATTATTTATATAATAAAAAAAATTAATAATTAGATATAAGTATTTCTTATATATATATAATAAAAAGCTAAGAAATAAATTAATAAACTTAAAATATCTATATTTAGATTATAGATATTAAAAAAATAATATAATTTAATTAAATCTAAAAAATATTATTATTAATTAATTTAGTAAATTCTAAACTAAAAAATATAAAATATATTATTATAAAAATATTAGAACTTTTCAAATTTACTTTATTTAATTAAATATTTTTATTAAACTTTAGAAATATATTTTATATAGATTTATTATAATCAGCAGCAATAAATAGATTTTTTTATAATAAATAAATAATTAATAATTCTCTATTATTTAAATTATAAAGAAGATTAAATATCTAATTAAATTATTTAAAATAAGATATAATAATAAAAAGTAGAAATAGAGATTATATTATAATATTAAATAAATTAAATATATTTAAATTATTTAAAAACTAGTTAAAGCTTTATAAAATATCTTTATTATAGATAATTAAAAGAATTTTTTTATTTAATTTATTTAAATCTATAATCAGTATTACTACTATTTTTTTAATTTTTAAATATAAAAAAAAGAGAAAAAATAAAAAACATATTATAAATTATTTTTAATTAATCTTTAAAAAATAATATTAATTTAGTAAATAAATTAATATATATTTAGAGTTTAATTAAAAGCAATATAATTTTTAATATTATTATTAATTCTATATATTTTTAATCTAAATTAGCTAATTATTTAATATTATATTAATTAATAAAACATTTATTTATTATTTTATAAGAATTAATTTATATATATAAATTAATTTTTAAAACTTAATTATTAAAAGATTAATAAGATTTAATATTAATAATAATATATATATCTTTTTTTAGTATTATATATTTTTTAAAAAAAAGATAATTTAAATATTTATAAATAAAAGCTTATAGTAGAATATATTTTTTTTAAATATAATATAAATTTTTTTATATAATAAATATAATAATAGTTCTGACTGATTATTACTAAAGTTAAATAATTATAAAAAATAAATAAATTAATAAAAAGATTAATAAATAGTTTTTATTTATTTTTTTTTATTAATATTTATTAACTTTATTAATTAAAAATAATTTATAATAAAAATATTATATTCAGTTGTTTTCTTTATTATATATAAAAAATCCAGAAGAATTATTTAATAATAAGTTTTAATTAATAATAAAAAAATTACTTTTATTTCTTTTATTTATTATATATAAAAAGTCTAAAACATTTATTTAATAATAAATCTTAATTAATAGTAAAATAGTACTAAAAACTAGTAAACTTATAATTAATAAATTTATATTAATTTAAAAGATAATAATAATTATTATTATTTCTTAAACTAGCTGAATAAAGAGAATAAAAAAATAAAAATAAAAAAAAATTAAATATTTATATTTTCTCTAGATATTATTTTATTACTAAAAATATAATAATCTTAAGTTAATTAAATAAAAAAAATATAAATATATATATATATATATATATATATAAAAAATTTATATTTCTAGATTTTATCTTAATATTTAAGATTAAGATATAAATAAGATTAGTATAAATTTAGAATAAAATTAAAATAAATTGAAAATAATATTAAAATTAAACTAATAAGAAATAATTATAAAACAGATTATAAGATTAAAATAAATAAATAAAAATTATTAATTAAATCTTTGAAAGAGAAATAATATTATAAAATATATTTCAAAGATTTTTTAATTTAATTAATTTATCTTATTAAATTAACTTCTATTAAATTATATATATATATATAAAATTATTAGATTTCTAAGAATTCTCTTTTAAATATTAATTATTTTTTATATATATAGACTTAGTTTTTTATAGTTTATAAGTTTTATTTCTAATAAGATTAAAAAAAATATATCTAACTAAAATTATTTAATATAAAATATAATAATATAAAAAATATAAATGAAAATTATATTATTATATTAAATAGATTAGATATATCTGAATTATTTAAAAGCTAATTAAAATATTATAAGATATTATTATTATATATAACTAAAAACATTCTTAAATAGAATTATAGAATAATTCTGCTTAATTTATTCTAATTTATAATTAATAATATTATTATTTTTAAATATAAAAAAATAAAAAAAACGAAAAAAAAGCCTGATCTAAAGCTAGTAATAAAAAAAATAATTATAGATAATATTTAATTAATTTTTAAAAAAATAATATTGATTTAATAAAAATAATATTGAATTTCTAGTCTTAAAAAATAATAGATAAACTATCAGAGAATTAATTATATAAATATATAAATAAAAATTTAATCTAAAATAATACAATTCTTAATATTATTATTAATTTTATATATTTCTAATCTAAGTCAGCTAACTATCTAATATTATATTAATTAATAAAATATTTATTCATTATTCTTAAAAATAATTGAACTTTATATGATTAAATTAATTTTTATAATTCTTCTATTAAAAAATTAAAAATATTTAATATTAATAATAATATATAAATCTCTTCTTTTATATTATATATCTCTTCAAGAAAAATATATTTAAAATATTTATATTTTATAAATAAAATTTTACAGCAGGCTGTACTTGCTTAGTATAATAAAAAACTTATTTTAAATAAAAAATATAATATTAATATTATTATTATTATAAAAAAAAAGCAGATAGATAATTATTAAAGAAAAATAAACATTAATAAAAAAGAGTTTTTTTTATAAATAATTACCGAAGAAAGAGTAAAAATTAATAAAAAATTAATAAAAAATTAATAAAAAAAATTAAATATTTATATTTTTTCTATTAAATTTTTATATTTAATAAATAAATATTAATTTACTAATAGTAAATCTTTTTCATTTATTTTTTATTAATAATTACTGGCTTTGCTGGCCGGAAGTATTAAGAATAATTTAATTAAAAATTAATTGATAATAAAAAGATTATATCTATTTTTTTATTTATTATATATAAAAAGTCTAGAAAAATTATTTAATAATAAATCTTAATTAATATAAATTCTTACTAATCTAAGAAATAAGAATTATTTTTATTATTTTTTAAACTAATTAAATAGAAGAAATAAAAAAATAAAAATAAAAATAAAAATTAAATATTTATATTTTTTAAACTTTATTTTAGTATTAAAAATAAAATAATATTAAGAATTAGTAAATTTATAATAAACAAATTTTTATTTATTTAAAAAATAATTATTATTTTTAATATTCTTTAAATTAGTTAAATAAAGCAGAATAGCAGATATAAAAAAAATAAAAATAAAAATATTAATTATTTATTTTTTTAGACTCTGTTTTAATATCTAAGATTAAAATATAGATACGATTAATATAAGTTAGAAATAAAATTAGAATAAATTAAAGATAATATTAAAATTAAATTAATAATAAAATTATAATAAAATAAATTATAAGTTTAATATAAATAAATAAAGATTATTAACTAAATTTCTTTTAAAAAAATATTATTATAAGATATAATCTAGAATTATTTAATTTAATTAATCTATTTTATTAGATTAATAATTTATTAAGTTATATATATATATAAAATTATTAGATTTCTAAGAATCTTCTTTAAAATATTAGTTATTCTTTCTTATATATACAGGCTCAGTTCTCTATAGCTTATGGGTTCTGCCTCTAACAATATATTTATTATAAAATTAAAATATTATTATTAATCAGTTAATTAAATTTATTTTTAGAGAAAGATATATCTATAAAAATTTAAATTATATATTTAAAGAACTTATATAAATCATATATTCACTATCAGTGGTTAAATCCCAGGTGAGAAGCAGATAAGATATATATATATATCTCGCAGGTATTGTAGGGACTGCTGTTCTTACATATTTATAAAATAAACTCATATATTGAAAGTATTTATAATCAAATTATTATAAAAACATTTTTTAGAAGATTTTATATATCTTAAAATTGAATTAATATTTAAGATATATAAAATACTATCTAGTATATTAAAAAGAATCAAGACAATATTTAAGATTATGAATTAATATATAAAATGTTAAAATCTTATACATGTTACTTACATAATTTTAGTTGAATTTATTTATTATTAGACTGTTATATATATTAATTTTAAAGTTATATATTAAATATATCTAAAGATATATATATTAGTATAGTTGGATAGAGAACTCAAGTAGGCCCGGCAGCAGGATTATTCAGACTTTCGGCTGAGAACTATAGGTATTGTAATTAGCTGTACCATAACACTCCGGCCAAAAATCTCTTAATAATGACTAGGAGCTCGCTCATCCATCCTCCCAGGGAATGACCCACCCGGAATTGAAAATATGGGATGTTGATCAAAACACAAAGCTCTCTTTTATCCTTGTTTCAACTTGCTTCACTTTCGGGTTCAACAGCTAAGGGATCTTTGCTCTCGCTGTCCAGGCTTACTCAATCCTGGTTTGCTCTACCTCTAAAGGAATGTCTGATCAAACAGATTTACAGGACGCCAATTGTCTTTAGTACACAGCAATATACATCTCAGGCATCTTCATCATGAATTGCTGGACAACTCGCTTTCATCTACGGCGGCATATACAATTATGTTGTAGCCTTGGAAGACATGTCCCTTTTACACAACACATTGTCAAAACATCACACCTCTCGATATCCAGAAGATGTGGGTATGCAGCGGCGAATGGCTTTCTGTCAGCCTACGGGAACATAGCATTAAAAAAGCAGACTCCCCATTCCCATTGCTCATCTCCTCCATTAAGCCGCCACCAAAGTACGAGTCAGCCATCAATCAGTTATTATCAACCACCACAAAGTGGTGTCGTTGCTCTTCTTCCTCGGTCCTGGATACCATATGCTGAACTATTACGACTTGATAAGCCGACAGGCACATACTACCTTTTTTTCCCCTGCTTGTATTCAACCCTTCTTGCGGCAACCATGACACCTTCGGTCTCAGTCATGCAAGTTACTGGCACAGCGGGGCTTTTCTTCGCCGGCGCCCTGGTTATGCGAGGTGCCGGATGCGCAATCAACGATTTATGGGATAGGAACCTAGATCCGCGTGTCGAACGCACGAAATATCGCCCGATTGCAAGGGGGGCAATACCTCCCGGCAAGGCAATAGTTTTTACCGGCGCTCAGTTACTTGCGGGACTGGGCATTCTTCTTCAATTTCCACCTCAATGCCTTTGGTACGGCATACCTAGCCTGCTTCTGGTGACGACTTATCCCCTCGCTAAGCGTGTCACATATTATCCTCAGGCTGTGCTAGGCCTTACCTTCTCATGGGGGGCGATTATGGGCTTTCCGGCTCTGGGTGCCGATCTCCTCGATAACAACGCCGCCTTGGGTGCTGCCGCTGCGCTGTATTCCAGTTGCGTTGCCTGGACCATATTGTACGATATGATATACGCACATATGGATATAAAAGACGACATTGCAGCTGGCATCAAGTCGATTGCTCTTCGTCATGAAAACAATACGAAGGTTGTTCTCTCTGCTCTAGCAACTCTTCAGGTGGGGCTGCTTGCTGCTGCTGGTGTAGCGGCAGGGAGTGGCCCTATCTTCTTTTTCGGCAGCTGCGGCAGTGCAATCGTTTCTCTTGGTCTCATGATACGGAAGGTTCAGCTTCAAGATGCTCGAAATTGTTGGTGGTGGTTCAAAAACGGTTGCCTGTTTACTGGGGGGGGTATCGCAACTGGGATGTTCCTTGACTATGTCGCAAAAGTAACTGCCCTGTACTAGACGGCAAAGGATTTTATATATTCTTAAAATACTTATAAGGAGGAAACTTCATCTACCCATAGGTCTTCAGGCCTGCATCTCTTCTTTCCCCTACCCCTTTTTCTCGAGGACTTGTTTATACCTACTTATATATATACCTCTAGCACCTGCTATATAATCTTTCGGTTTCCGTCCAACATTATATAATTGCCAGTATTGTGTCCAGTATTGTCGCCAGGGAGAACTCTTCTTGTCACATGAAACCTAGAAACTAACGCTTCGTCACTAAAATTTTTATAGCCTATTTTCATTTCGCTATCTATACTTATTTATAGATAATTTGACGATTTTATGATGATCACGGAAGTAGGAAACACAGCAAGGGACCTTTTATCTTGAAACCTTGACACCCTTTTGTCTAGTACACCTTTCTAAGTAGGAGACTGGTATGAGACTGGTCCTGGTCCTATCGCCTTTAATATACTGCCTGCCTGGCTGCGTATACTAATAGTTTATTTGACTTACTAGTAAAGATATAAAAGATGGAATGTTTTAGAACACATAAATACATGCGACTCTAACAGCCAGGGTAGGTTAATAATAACAGTTAAGAAATTTAGATAATAGTTAAAATATTTTATAAGAATTAAAATAAATATAGAATTATTATTTAAATAATAAGTATAATCTAAACTAGATAATTATATAATTAATTCCTAAATTATATAATATATAAATATTATTATAAAATATCTAATAATTTAAAATTATTATATAAAATAGATTCTAAATTAATTAATTATATATTAAATATAATCTAGTTATATTAAAAAATATTTAAAATATAATTTATAAATAAATATTAAATATTTTTTTTTAATTTAATTTTAAAACTTATATATTATAATTTATTTAGATCTAAATATACTTTTTAAGAGATTGGTTTTTAATCTGTATTTTAACTGTTAGCCACTCTACATGTGAGTAAAGATTAAAGGTATGTATATTAAATTTGATAAGAAAACCAACCTTACTTTGGTATGTATCAAAAAGATTATATATGGGTCATATACAGAGTAGGCTAATATAATTTAGTGGCGAAATCCAGCGGCTTATATCTACAACTAATGACTTAACTACACCCCTCGCGCGCTTAATGTTCCAATTTTGCACCCCAGGCTAATTTAGTGGTATTTTACAACTCTACTGGTTTTATGTAGTCCCATTATAAAATCAACAGCTAATTATATTTCACGCTAGAAATTAAAATATATGTGATTAAATTAGATAAATATAGGATCTTTTAACCTTTATATACAAGACTTTTAGAGTGGTTAGGGACTTCAGGTAATCAGAGTAGATTGGGGATTAGGGATATTTCAAGATATATAAGAAGTCTTATGTTTAGAGATAGATGTTATTGTTGTTGTATTATTTAACGTCCGGGGGACCTTGGGCGAAGCCTAGGATCCAAAGATCTTCTATAAAATATAGAGACGCGCTGAGCTATGAAGATTATATATATAAAATATATTTATAAAAGATATTTCTAACTATTAATAATAGCAGAATTTATTAGTTAACTACTATATTTCTTTGATTTATAAGATATATATAGAGAATTTAAATAGATTAGTAAATTATAAATAAAGATAAAAAATAAAATCTAGAAGAAAAATAAAGTTAGAATTAATTATTATTAAAATATTAAAAGCACAGATACAGAGTATAATATAGATAAAAAATTAGAAAATTATATATATAATTATAAAAAAGAGAAAAAAAATAAAAATAAATATAAAATATTTAAAAATTACTATACTATAAACTTAATAAATATAAAATTTAGAATAAAATTTTATAATTTAAAAAAGCTTTATAAATTTTTAAAATTTAAAAATTTATAAATAATTCAGAGTCTTTTAACACTTAGTAAAAAATATTAGAAAATATTATAACTAATTAATAAAGATATATTATATATATTAGTAGAGAATAAAATACTTTAGGCTTTTAATATAGTTATAGATATAAATAAGTTTAGTATTAATATAATTAAACTTATAATAATATTAATTAAAATCTCTATAAAAAAAGTATATAATAAGCTAGTAATATAATAATAAATAATATATATTTAATTCTAGTTCTAATCTAATATAATAATCTTAATAATTATTTTATTATTTATATTAGATAGAGAGTATTATTAAGATTTTTATTTATTATTATAATTAGATTTTAATCTGAAAAATTTAGTAGATAGATTTTAAACTATTTATAATAAATAAAACTTATTTATTTAAGATTATACTATTTCTGATTTTTTATTAATTAAAATATTTATTATTTTATTATTTTTAATATTTATATAATCAAAAGATTACTTTAGATCTATTTTATATTATTTAATAATCTTATAATTTTAAGAAAGATTTATTATAAAAAATATAGTATTATTTCTAATATATTATATTATTAAGATATTATTAATATAAAGCCAGATCTAAGTATTTTTTTATTAAAAAAGAATAAGAGTATACTCTAGATCTTATGAGATTCTAATTATCTTTATATTAAAAATATAAAAATATAATTCTAATATCTTAAAACTAGTAATAGTCTATCTTTAATCTATATAAATTATATAATTATATTTTATATATCTAGCGCTGTTTATCTATTACTTTAAGCTATTAAAAAAGATTATAATATTAATAAATAGAAAAATTTATTATTATTTCTAGAATATATTAGCTGTGATAATCTTATTAATATTTTATATTAAATTAATTCTGCACCCGGTAATATAATATAAAGAAAATAATATAGATTATAGAATATAAGATAATAATATATTTAGAATCTAAATCTTAATCTTTACTTATTATCTCTGGCCTGTATTATAGTTTTATATAATTATTAATAATATAATTCTAGAAGTTAATAAATATATATTATTAATTATTTTAAAATAGAGAGTAAATTATAGTTTAATTTTTTTTAGTATTATTATAGTTAAGAAAAGTCTAGTATTATAATAGAAAATAATTATAAGAATAATTTATTATATTAAAAGAACTTCTCTTATAATAAAAATAAGTATTTTATTAATAATACTAATATATTATCTATTCTAAATATTAATTATATTCTTAATATATTTTAAATATCTAGCAGACTTTATTTATTTTATATATTATATTTTTATATTATATAGAAAAAAGAAAAAAATATATATTATAATTATTTTTTTTAGTATTAATATTAGAGAGCTATTTATAGTTCTAGTAAGATCTTTAATATATTAAGAAATTATCTGTATTTTTATTATATAAATAATTATATAATATTTTTAGCTGAATTATTTATTAAATTAGATCTTAAGTTATTAGAGAGCAGGCTGTTAGCCAGATTTTTAAAAAATAATAATAAAAAAAATAATAAAAAAATTATTTATTTTAATAAATAAGATTCTGAAGCTGTATTTTCTAATAATATAAATTATTTTTACTTTCTTAGAAATAAAAATAATCTTATTAATAGTTTTTTAGCTAAAAACCCCGCGGATATTTTTTATAAAAAGCTTAATATTCTAGTTAAGAAAATATATAGTTCTATATAAAGTAATATTATTAATATAACTAAAATATAATAAGATATTTATCAGAAAAAGCTTTATTATATATAAAAAAAATTAATAAGAAAAAAGATCTCTAAGATATATCACAGCTAATAAGATAATAAAATATTATTATTTTTTTTAGATAAATCTAAATAATTTAATTAAAAAAAAACTATTTATTAATCTCAGTAATAAGAAAGACTAGTCTTAAATAATTATATACTTAAGAAGCTGCTATTATAATAATATATTAAAAAATTTTAATATATTTATAATAATAATTATTATCTTCTAATCTTAAATTAGTATTATCTTAATATTATATATTAAAATAATTATTAGATTTATTATTAAATATTTAAATAAAATATTCTTATACTAAAAACTAAGTATTCCAGAAATTAGAATAATTTATATAATATAATAAATAATAATCTACTTAAGACTTTTAGAAATATAGAAGAGAAAAATAATTAAATATTAAAAATATATAAATAATTTATTTTTTTTATTAATCTTAAGTAATATAGCTATCTCTGTTTATTTTTAAAGATTAAAAAAATAATTAAGAACTAGATAATAATTATAAAAAGTATAAAAAACTAATTTAATCTATTTTTAATATATATATAATAAATAGACTATAATCTAATTAATATTTAAGAAGATACTAAAAGTTTTAATAATATTATATTTAATCTTCTCAGCAAAGACTGTCTTAAATTAAAAAAAATAATTTATATTTTTTTAGTTAATTAAAGAATTCTTAATAAAATTATTTTTTAAATTAAAATAATCTAATATTATTTTATAGAGAATTTTAATCTTCTTTTTAATATTTTTAATAATTAGATTATTTATTATTAGTAAGAAAAAACTGAGATTTAGAATTAATTTATATTAGATAATAAGATTATATAGCTTCTTATTTATAATAATCTTATTTATAATAAAATATTAGTATATATATTTAATCTTTTAAATAGTATTTTTAAAATAATAATATATATTCTGAATTTTTTTTAAAAAGTATTACTTATATCTAATCTATACTTAGTCTAGATATATAATCTAATATTTTTTAAATTATTAAAGTATTAATTAGCTTTTTTTTATCTAACTTATTTATAGTATAAATAACTCTCTTAAAGATTATAAAAAGCTAAAAATCTAAAAAAATATAAAATCTATTTAGACTAGTCTAGTAAAGCAAGGCAGATTTTTATTAAATATTTAATATTAAAATTAATTAAGAAAAGAATTATTTTAGTCTAAAAGAATAATAATCTAGATTTTATAATCTAAATTATATTAAAGATCTGATTAAACTTCTGTTATTATAAAAAAAATATTAAAAAAATAAGATTAAGAATATAATTAGTTTATTATATAGAAATATCTAATCTTTTAATAGAATTTATATTATTATTACTTATTTACTAAATTATTTTATTTTTTTAATAAATATTCTATATCTCTGGCTTAAAAATCTTATAATAAATATTAAAATTATTATTAAAAAGATTATTAGTCTTAGAACTAAGATTTATAATATAGTTAATAATTTTATATATAATAAATTCTTAATATATATTTATAATTCAGAAGCTGTTTATAATAATTTAGAAAAGATTTTAGTTTTAAATTAAATAATATTATTAGATTATAAATCTAAGTCTTTAATTTATAAAAATTAAAACTTATAATCTTTAAGCTATTTAGATATTTAAATAGTTTTAGATATTAATTAAAAAATAATAATTATATTTAAAATAATTTAATATTTTTATATTACAAACTATTTATAGCTTTTAAATATAGATAATATTATAATTATTTTTATAGATAAATTAAAATAAGAAAATTTAATAAAATATTATTCTAATTATATTTACTTAGCAGATATAAAGATCTTAGATTTTAAGTAATTAATTATTATAATAATAACTATAATTAATTTAAGATGTTAATATTAATATTTAGTCTTAAAATTAATAATTTTAAGCTTTATTTATATCTGTTAAGTATTAAAAATATTAGAATCTAAAAGATTTAAAAAATAAATATAGCTTTTTTAGAATTTATTTTAAAAGATTTTATTTATATTATCTTCAAAGATTATAATATATTTAAGATATTAATTAATTATAATTTATTAGAATCTT